TACATATTAAAAAAAAGTGACAAACATTCAAAAAGTGACGAAATTAAAAAAAAAAAGTGACACAAATAAAAAAAAGTAACTGAAAATAAAAAAAGTGACGAATCATAACCCACGATTTTCAATAAAGCCAATTTATCCAATAAGTTCACAACTAATGAACAAATTAAAAACTTTTGAATTGACAACTTGAACGATATAATCATAATCCAAAAATTTAAATGCAACCAAGTTTGCAATAAGCTCACAATTAATGAAAATTGATGACTAAACTAAGATGTAAATGTCACAAAATTTCATAAACACTCATTGTAGAGTCTATCCTTTATCAAGCCATTCCCAAATCCAACCACAGAGGTCTAGCCACTAGGAGCTGAACTTGATAACATAAATCCCCACGAAGTATTTGCACGTCACTTCCACCAATAATTTTCCCCATATCTTCCACGAGTAAATATGACCCCTCCAATTTATGTTGGCCAGTAAGCTGGGACACCATGTTTAGCAACTTAAAAAACCAGCAGTTGAAGTTCAAAATCAAAAATAATTTCATCAATTAATGATACGGAACATAGACACAGCATTTCAACAATTTGAAGCTACTATATTCAAATCCAAATACTTATAACATTTTTAGTTTAAAAACAAAGAAATGCCTCCGCTTCAATTCCACAAAATATACCGAAGTAATATTATTTCTCCCAAGCAATTCATTTTTCAATCTTCAACATAAAAAACCTTGAAATATAAAGAATCAAGCAAATACTAATTACACATTTTCCTAAAAAATATAACTCCATAAAAATGGCCAAGATACTATACCAAAACATTCGAAACCTGTGGTTGAGAGTTGAAAAGGAGTCGACAAAGACGGATCGAAAAGTTGAGTCGGATGAAGTTTCTCGAATAGGAAATCACTGCTGTTGAGGAGTGGGGGAGGGTTTCGGGTATTGGAATTTTATGATTCAAAGAGTTCTCCTCTCTGATTTGGATTTCTATTTTGGGTGATTTTATTGTTGATGTTTTGGAAGTAATTAATACGGTAATAATATTTTGATTTAGTTTTAGAGTACTAATCTAGTACTTAAATTTTTTGAGGTAGTAGGCCTAATTTCCTCATAAAATTTTGACACATAACCTGCTATATTTATTTCAAAAGTATACATGTCAAATCACAATAAATGCTATATTTTTCGTTGATTTTTTCATTTTTTTAATGAAACAGTATTCAAATATCGAGAATGACTATGTAATGTCGAGAATATCTCCGTGACATGGAGCCAAATGTCGAGAATGTCTCTGTGACACGGAGAAGTAATTTTTTCCTTTTTTTTTTTTTTAATGAAACAGTGTTCAAATGTCGAGAATGATATATGTAATGTCAAGAATGTCTCCATGACACGGAGGCAAATGTCGAGAATGTCTCCGTGACACAGAGGCAAGTGCCTCCGTGTCACGAAGACGTGATTTTTTTTTAAAGTATCATATTTTTTGTTTTCA